CTCTCTCTCTCTCTCTCTCTCTCTCTCTCTCTCTCTCTCTCTCTCTCTCTCTCTCTCTCTCTCTCTCTCTCTCTCTCTCAAAATAACTTACTCCCTCACCTACGCAACTATTTCTCTTAATTATCTATCAGGAATCACAACAAATTCATGTTACATCTAGATTGTAACAAATTTTATATGAAAAAACACAAATTTAAAAGAATTTCTATTAATAAATTGGTGATATCAGATTTCTTGTAATCTTATATGAAGAATCATCAATAAATTACAAACATAAAAGAAATTCTAAGAGTTATGTATGATTGTTTTTTTTTCCCCAATTTTATATGAAAAACCATCAATAAACTACCAATATAAAAGACATTTTAATAAAAATTTGCAGTGATATATGATTTTTTTTCCAATGAAAAATCATCAATAAATTACAAAGATAAAAGAAAATCTAATAACAAATTGCAGTGAAATATGATTAATTTTTCGTATTTTTATATGGAAAAACATCAAATCAATCTTATAAAATGAGGGCATGCAATTGTGTTCGTGTGTGAACTAGTCTATTAATTCATAGCTAATTCAGTTTGGCAGCACTCTTGTGCCTCCTTAATAGGTGCAATACAATTTTAACCCCACACGCGCACTCATTCATTTGAATTACTGAGTCCCAAATTTTTGGTCAACCATTAACACATGAAAATTGCACATTTGTATAAGTATATGAGTTGATTTGATTTCTAGCTCCACAATATTGGCAACAAAAAGTGAATCGAAATAAATAAAAGAAAAAATATTCAACTTTGGTTGCTACAATAAAATTTAACTTTGTTATTTTGTAGGTTATGGGCAACACAAAGTTGGATATTCTAGCCTGTCCGATTTGTTACGAACGAGTTACTTGGAATGTTAAACGTGCGCAGTGTAAGACATGTAGGAAATTATACTCTGCGAATAATATCTCACATATGGACCTAACAATTACTGGCGCTAGTGAAAATTTGTCTACTGAACCTTTGCCTGCTTCTATTCAGCTTTTCAGGTTCGATTGATTATCAATTGCTACGGTTCATTACCAAGTTAATTCGAAAATTGTCATCTAATTACTATAATATTTATTTTCCACCTTATAAAACGTTCATATTTGTCTATGTCCAAACAGGTTACCTTTAATCTCATACCTCTATGAAAGAGGTTGGCGGCAATGTTTTTATTTTGGTGGATTTCCAGGTCCAGAAAAGGAGGTAAATTTTTTATTTTTTTATTTTTTTTTTCCAACTATAGTCTCAATTATTTCATTCCTTTTTTGAAATTTCGTTTTTATTTTGATGCAGTTCGAAATGATCAAGGACTACGTCAAACCAGTCTTAGGTGGTAATATTATTGACGCCAGCTGTGGAAGCGGCATTTTTTCCCGACTTTTTGCCCAAAGCGGATTATTTTCTCATGTCGTGGCTTTGGACTTTTCTGAGACGATGCTTAAGCAATGTTTCGAGTTTATTAAGCGGGAAAATAACTTTCCCGAAGAGTACGTAAAATTCAATTCCCTTTGGTAGTT